CCTTGTCAGGCTCTGTGCTCAGCAGGGAGTCTGCTTGAGATTCTCTCTCTCCCTCTGACCCTCCTCTAACTCCCTCCCCATCTCTCTCTCTCTAATAAATCTTTTAAAAAAAAAAAAAAAAAGAAGAACATAAAACCCAACAAAGCCCGTAAATTATTAGGACATTAACTCATTCTTAGATAAGCACAGTGAAACACATTTTTCTATAGCCAAAAGTTCACATGAGAAAAATAAACATTCAAGCACATATCTATTGCCAGTACCCCTTCCCACGAAGTGGACCTTCAAGAGAAAATACGTCATATAAGCAAAACAAATATTTTCAAATGAAACACCTTAAAAATTTGTAATTTATCATAATCTAAGTTTCATATTTAAGAATTCTAGAAAGCTTTAAGATTTTTGTTCTAGTTATGGCTTTCACCCAAGGAAGAAAAATTGTTGATTTCCTTCTCCCTCTACCCCCCTTCCTGCTGAACAACCAATGGGTCAATCACATTGACAATATTATCTTCCATAAAGAAGATCCTCATGCCTACATACTAAAGTAGGCAAAATCCAGATAGCACATTGGGAGCTCTATCATGGCTTCTAAGGGGAAAGGAGCACTGAAGATTAAGACAACAAAGTCAGAGACAAGGGTTTCCCCAAATGTACCCCCCAAAATCTTTTCTTTCCATCACCTAGAAACAACTACTAGAAATCCCTCTGTGGACCAAGTCAAACCTTTCAAGACTGATAGGATTGTCTAAGCTGTCCAGGTCTCTAAAGGGTGATTCTCAAAAAAGGTGCATTTGGATAGAATAAATTAATTGACTCATGCCACTTAGAATTCTCATAGTGTTTCAGTCGGAGTCTGGTATCTCTCTGTTCTGACCTATTGGGCATTGGATATAGACTGAATTGACTACAGCCGCGTCAACTCTAATTTACCTATGACACATTTCCTCTTCTATAACCCTATCTGTGCACACCTGTATGCTTCTATTTGAGCCAAGGTTAGCCCAGCCCTATCCCCTTCATTGCCTTTGTGTTACAGCCTAAAACTAATTCAATGTCTTAACTTCAGGATCCAATTCTGTGTTATTACGTGAAGTGTTAAACCTCGCCCCCTTTTATCCCACATCTATCTACTCAGTCTTTTTTGTTACATACACACCACCTCAGTATGTTTGACTGTGTACATCTCTTTTCCTACTCCTTCATGTACTCCTCATATACACAGACCTAGCAAGCTCCCTGCCATCCCTTCCTCAGCTAACTAGACTGTAGGTTCAGTCATTACAGTCTTTGTAGTGTGCCTCCTGTCACTAATATTGCCTGCAGCCTGCTTCTCTCCCACATAAATCCTACCTGCTGCGCCCGGAAGATCATCCTATCCCTGCTCTCCATCTGCCTACTCAGTCTCGTCCTATTCTTCCAAGCTCTGTTTCTCCTCACCTCACCACTCTCCTAGAAAGTAAAATCATAAGCTTCTTCCCCTGCATCCTAACAAAACCCACTACTGTTATGGGCACACTCCAGTTCATCTATTCCTCCTTTCTCTCCATTTCTCATTGCCCAATGACTATCACTCTTAAGGACTATGTCTTATACTACTCTGTATCTCATGATGCCAGAGAGGTGCACATACATTGTACACACTTAATAACATTAATTAGATTAATGATGAATAATTTTAATTAAATCAAAAGATGGTTGAGGTTCCTAGAAAATTATGGTTTCCACCTCTACCTGCAAAAATTATAAAGAAATATTCTGGCCTACAAAAACAAAAAAAAATACCTCTAGACCTTTCCAAATTCTCCATTGCCTCCTCTAAGATATGTCTGACAGCAGAAAGTAAACTAGTCTTCTCAAGCATTAAATTGCTCATGAGTCTTACAAAGGGTATCATTTAGTCAATTACCTTCCCTAAGGAAAAATAAATGGAATATAGCTGCCTGAGAAAAATTAATTCACTCAACTCCAGGAAGTAGCTCACTAAGAACAGCTTCTACCACTCCAGGATATCTGAGCTATATTTCATTCCTAGTTTCACCTTTTTCTTCTTTTTGGATTTGAATTTTGGCTGATTATTGAAGTTTGGTTGGTAAGGAGTAGCAGCCTAATATTAACTAGGTATAGTATCACCTGAAGTTTGGACTATGAAAGAACTAAGATATAGAACCTTTCCTTGTATCTGAAAATATGAATGTTGCCTCCATATCCTATCAAACTCTCCTAACACTCAACTCACATGGAGGTATACGACGGTTGAAGACGGAAAGGAAAATGCTCAGCATGGAAATGGAAAGCAGGTAAGGGAACAATAGTAACTGGCAGGGGAAATCCAAATTCAAATGCCTTCCAGAACCAAGCACGTAGTAAACACGCTCAGCAAATTTATGTTAAGAACAGAGTAAGGGGGATGATAAAAGGTAGCTACTTCTAAGGTCAGTGTGCCAACTACCCCAACCAGGAAATCGCTACCATGCAAAAAGGTAAAACCAGTGTCACATCGTCTAATTGCTCAGAAGGCAGGGAACTCAGATTTTTTACATAAAATTACCCCCATGTGGGCAAGTTATTAAAATTAGAAAAAATAAAAAACAAAACTCTGTGCCAGTGAAATACAAAATGAAAAGCTGCTAATTTATGATCTCTGGAACAGAACTGGGGTATAAAAAAAATCATAAAAATACATTTCTAAAACAAAATCCCTACTTCACACACACTATTAATAATCAGATTTCTGTATTAATCCTCTGGGTCTGAGTACTTATATTAATGATCATATCAGGTAGGTTAAAAGCTCAAATGCAAAAGCAACAACAACAAAAAAAATTGAAGGAAGTATAAATGAATATGTTACCAATCTTTGATTTAGAGATGACTCTATAATAATTTTAAAAACCACAGAAGAATTTTTCATCTGTAATTTAACAAAAATTAAAAGCATTTATAGTGAAAAATGCCTTGTGACCAAAATTAAATGTAAAATAAATCCTGGAAAATATTTGAGCTAATAAAGCAAAGGGCTAATTGTCTTTATTACCAAAAAAAAATAATAAAGCAAAATAAACAAAACCCTCAGAAATTGATAAAAAACATAAAAAGTATAGATTCTAACTTCTTATGGACAAGGATGGTTTGCTGTTGCCAGGTCCTAACCCAATTCAAAGCAGTGTTCCCTGTGGGACCAGGTCTGAGACATCTGCCAAACTACACAAGTATGACACAATGAGCTCTCCAAAACCTAAAACACCAGAGGAAAAGGAGTGCCACAAAAGATCCAACAAATGGAAGAATTCATACCCAAGGGACTAGAAATATTTTAAAAATGTGAAAAGTCATGTTTGGAAAAATGTCTGTTTAGCTCTTCTACCCATCTTTAGGTCAGATTATTTGGGGTTTTTTGTTATTGTTCAAAATGACAACAGAAAGAAGCTCAATGTCACTAATCATCAGGGACACACCAATCAAAACAACAGTATCACCTCACAATTGTCAGAATGGCTGTCATCAAAAAGACAAGAGGCAACAAGTGCTAGCAAAGATATGGTGAAAATGGAATCCATACACCCTTTCCATGGGAATGTAAATTGGCCCAATGACTATAAGAAAGAGTATGGAGGTTCCCCCCAAAATTAAAACTAGAAAATACCACATGATCCAGTAGTTCTATACTGGGTATAAACCCAAAGAAATGAGAATAGGATTTCAACAAGATACATGAACTCCCATGTTTATCACAGTATTATTCACAATAGCCAAAATATGAAAACAATCCAAATATCCATCAATGGATGAATGGATAAAAAGATATGGTACATACACACAATGGAGTATTATTCCGCCATGAGAAAGTAGAATATCCTCCCACTTGTGGCAACATGGATGGACCTTGAGCATATTATGATAAGCAAGAAGAGTCAGAGAAAAATGGGTAGTGTATGACACCACTTATAAGTGGAATCTAAGAAACTTAAACCTGTAAAAAAACAGTAAAATGGTGGTTACCAGAAAATGCCGGTGGTGGGTAAGAGTAATGCTGTTTCAAAGTGTACAAACTTATATTAAGTAGTGAATAAGCCAGAAAGATCTAATTTACAGTATAGTGAATATAGACAAAAATATTATACTATAATTATGCAATGTGATAGATATTGCTACATTGGCAAGCATATCACAACATATAAATGTATCAAAGTAACACCTCGTACCCCTTAAATTTATACAATGTTACACAACAAATTTATTTTTAAAAAAGATAAGTGAAATAAAATATTTTTAAATATATGAAAATAACATTAATAATTAATTATATTGAAATCTTCAAAGCGATACATCCATGAAGTAAAAAAAAGAACAGGAAAATAAGAAAAAGAACCAATTGGAAATCCTGGAGGTGAACATATAATCACTGATGTTTTTTAAATAATATACATGCCCTAAATGGCATAATTTAGAGAACCAAAAAAGAAAAGAAACCAAAATGGAAAAGAAATACTACTCTCCAAGAATTCACTACTAACAAATTAAGACACAGGAAATAATGTAAATCTAATAAATTCCCTCCCCAGAAAAATCACTTAATTACCTACATACAAAGTTTTATAAGCAACTCCCAGAGTCTTTAAAGCCAACTTCCACCCTAGACTTCTGAATGCAAAATATCTTAAGAATGGAAATATGTCCTACTCTATCAATACAATACAATATTAATACAGGTTCAAGGTATAGGAAACAGACTTTAAATCTGAGTTAGGATCAAATAAAAAAGAAGCCAATTAAACCAGATCAAGAAGTGAAACTTACAAAGAAAGTGTCCTGAATCTTCCTAAATATTCTGTTAAACTCAAGTAAAAATGAGACTGAGAAAATCAGTAACTATCCATAGTAAATAAAGGAATTCTAGTGTGTATTAAAATTGGTTAATTATAACCTAATAATTATTACTTTAGATGCAAATATGATTTTAAAATTCATTTTGGCATCCCAAAATGTGACACAAAAAGTAGAGCATCTGTAACAGGCAAAAACCATTTTTTAAAATAATGTTAAATGATCAGTATGGGGACACAAGATTGGTGGAGTTTAAAAGAAGCTAAATTCCTCTGAGTTAGAAAAGATGAGAGATAAAGAAGCCTGAGGGGGAAATCTGGAGATACTGCCTAGAATAAGGGGAATTTTAAAGACTAAGCTGAAAGGAGCAATAAAATAGAAAACTCACTGGTTGACGCATCTGATTTGGAGTGAGCTGAACAGAGCTGTCTAATGGCAATGTAGGTGACACGTGTCATAAACTGGATGATGTTAATCTCACGATATCTTCAGGAAAATCTACACATGACTCGGGGTTTTTTTATTTATTTGTTTTTTAAACAGGATCAGGAAAGGCAAGGAAGAGCATGGAGTTCTCCTTCAACAATGGCCCAATGTAAGTACACAGAGAACATATGGAAAGCTAGCCAACGTCTGTGTTACAAAAGAAAGTCTTAAATTTGCCCTCTGCTATTAACCTTACTAAATGGAAATTGGTTGGCCCTCATCAAAACTTTGATGGAAAATAGCTCTCCACCAGAGATTCTGAAAACACAAAAATCCTCCTCGAAATAGACATGAAACGTTTGAGAACATAAATTCAGCTGATATACAGAATATCTCTGTTTAAGAGAGCTAAGATCTTAGGAAGGTAAAATGCTGACTTCTTTGAAAATGTCTAGTGAGAATTTGGAAATAAAATTGTGTCTCTGGAACATTTTCTTTAATGCATTAACAACCTTCAGTATTAAGATTCTTTGAGGATGTGTATTTCCACAGGTTTTCTTCAAGCTGATACGGACAGAAATTATCTTGATTGAAGACCTTGAAATATTTAAATACAAGTATTTATCTTCTTTGATTACTTCTTCTTTGTTACTTCAAAAGTATACAAATCAGGTTCTCTTGACGTTCACAACTGTATTTCATTTTTTAAATTTTTTTGAAGTTCACAATTTTATAAGAATAATGCCTGGGTTTGAAATAGCACATTTGCATCTCAACAGATCAGATTCCTTTGAATATATTCACACTGCAGAACAGCCTTGTTCTGGTTTTAAAAAAAAGTCTTCATTTGATGCATACATTTTTCACATGGAAACATAATTGTGTATGAATCTGTCTCAATCACATGCAATCTCCCTGATAAGATGATAAAAGCACTCATGCATGAATCTTTTTTTCCCAGAAAAACATGGTTTCCTTTGGGGAAGAAATTGAAGGACAAGTTTTCAATCTTTGCAGACCACCTAGACTTTATCTTCTCAGAATGAAACTTTTTGGCCTGGAATATTCTATTCCTAATTGCTAATTAAAAGCAGCAAACATGAAAATGCCTGGTGTGGAATGGTGTGTTCATATAGGCCTTCACAGGAGAAGATTTTCTTTCATATTCATGAAATAAAATTAAACTGGAATGAATTTTGAATCAACCTTTCAGGAATTCATTATAATTATATTTGAAGCACGAAAGTATAAAAACCATAGGTACCAAAATACTGATAAATATGAATAGTAAATATGTTCCATAAAATTTCCAATGTATTATTGCCAAAATAAAATATACATAAAAATGTGTCATTGAGAAAAATATATACAGCTAGCCCAAAATATCTGCCAAAAGACATGATGCTAAAGAAATAAAAACTAAAGATAGCACGTAACCTTTAAATGGTACTCACCAATCACAATCGAAGACTCACAGTGATAATAACCATTACTTTGCTTCTTCTTTAGCATGGAGCAAAGATCTATGCGATGTACCATTTCTTCTCCAAATCTGTGGCTGATAAATTTTTCATAGACTTCGGGATCTATTTTTTTCACTCCCTTGAAATGACAAAACAAAATCCCATCACTCGATCTTTCCACCAAGGCAGCTAGTTCATATTGATAACACTTTCTTAGAACCTGATATTACACTTTGGTATAAAGTTCTGCCTACTGGCACTTGAAAACGGATACCACAAAATGGTTGTAAAGCTGTTTTTAAAGTCTCCCTGTCTAGGATAATTTGTATTACCTCCCTGCACCCAAAATCATTAGAGTGTGGGGTTTAAATATGGCAGCATTCAGAACTTTATATACTTTAAGCTTCTGAAATAATGGAGTATATCAAGTTGAAGTTTGAGGTATCAAAAAAAGAGTAATCATCTCCAACAATAATGGAGAAATTGATGAATTGTTAAAAAGTGATATAGAACTTAACATTTTATAGTGTATAGAATGTTTTAATAAGATGGATTTTTTAACTCCTTAAGAATCATTTGAAGACAGTGAAAGATTATTTGAATCAGAGGAGGGGGGGGTCCATGGATCTTCCTTCTCTACCTGCCTCTCCTTATTCTCAGTATCTTTCATAGCAGAAAGAGGGCTGATAGGTGAAAAATAACAGTGGAAGACATTGCTACTTCTGTAGTTTCCCAAAACATGGGAATGAATTTCTCCCCCACCCTTCCCATGCAGTGGTCCTGCCCCCAGCCTCGTAGTCCCAAACACAGCCCATAAGATGACAATAGAATTCTTTACAGGCCAAGTTTACTGCCTGACCATGTGTGAAGTTTTCCTTTTAATTTATAACTTTTTAAAACTTTTACCCTGGTAATACTTGTTTGTTTTTTTAATACTTGTTATTTCTTAAAAATCAGAAAATATGAGGAATCTAGGGTCACCTGGTTGGCCCAGTCAGTAGGGTGTGCAACTCTCGATCTGGGGGTTGTGAGTTCAAGCTCCAGGTATAGAGTTTACCTAAAAAATAAAATCTTTTAAAAAAGAAAAAAAAATATGAAGAATCTAAAAAAAAAAAAAATTCTCATCCTGCCATTTACAGAAAATACAGTAACACTGTGGGTACATCCTTCAGGTCTTTTTCTTTCTCTCTCTCTTTTTTTTTTAAGATTTTATTTATTTATTTGAGAGAGAGAGAGAGAGCACAAGATACAAATAGAGAGGGGTGAAGGGGTGGAGGGGCAGAGAGAGAGAGAGAAGCAGACTCACCGCTGAGGAAGAAGCCTGATGCAGGGCTTGATCCCCGGAACCTGAGATCATGACCTGAGCCACAGGCAGACGCTTAACTGACTGAGCCACCCAGGCACCCCCCTTCAGGGCTTTTTTTATGCATACATATATTATATTTAGATTATACTTATATAAATCTTATTAAAATGTAGGTAGAATATATATTTTCCCTTTTTATTCACAAAAAGTTTTGACAAAAATTTTAAAAAGATATAAAAACAAAAAAATTAAAATTAAATTGCCCTACACAGCAACTACTACAATTTTATTATGTATTTTATTTTTCCTATACAAAACAAAGTACTTTCTTCTTTTTTATAGGAATGTGGTTGAGCCATGAGTACTATTTAGCAATCAGCTTTTATTTCCCAGTTAATATGTCAATAAATAATATACAGATGTGCAAAATATTTTTAATATTTTGCCTCCATAGTCCTCCACTGTATGGGAGCATCATTAATTTATTCATGCAATTATTTATTGTTAGACATTTAAGTTGCCCTTAATTTTTAATATTGAATTTAACATGTTTTTGTTGATATATGTTCTTGTTCTGTATCCAAACTGACCTCTACTCACAGACTTTCCTTACTTTAGCTCCATTCACAGACTTTCCCACCTCAGTTAACAGAAACTCTATTCCAGCTAATTAGGCCGAAACCCTGGGGTCATCCTGAATTCGCCTCTTTCTCACAATGTCGCCTCCAAGCCAATCACGTTGGCTCTACCTTCAACATGGGACTAATTCTCCCCATACCCTTGCAGCCTTTGTCCAAGTTTCCCCTGTTTCTTTCACCTGGTTTATCCTAACAGCCTCCTGTTTTCCCACCCTTGTGTCCTCAACAGCCAGAATTATCCTACAAAAATATACATCACATCACGTCACTCCTCTACTCAAAATTCTCCAAAGGGTTCCCATTTCTCTCAAAGGAAGAGCCAACTTTCCCAGAACAGCCCACCAGGTCCTGCTCTGACCATGCTCAGTACTTCCTGGGCCCTGTCTTGGACTCCTCCCCCTTTACCCTTCTCCACCTCAGCCTCCACTCGTGCCTCCCAATCACACCAGTGCAAACCCACTTCAAGGCCTGTGCACTGCTGGTTTCCCCTTCTGGAAATGTTCCTCCCCTAGATATCCTCATGACTGGTCTCCCACCTCCATGCAGTTCTTGCTCAAATTCTGCTTTCTTAATAGAACTTCCCCTGACCTCCCTTTAATATGCACTACCCTTCCCTCTTTATAAATATTTACGGACATTTTACCATAGCACGTACCACCTCCCACGGCATCATGAAATTTACTTTACTGTGTTGATGTTTCACGGGCTGACATGATCTGTCTCTCTCCACTACCATGTGCGTTCCACACAGAAAAATAATTTTGCCTGATTTGTATTCACTGAAATATTCCCCGTGCCTAGCACGCTGCGTTACACAGAACCGTGTGCTTAATAAATAATTGTCACAAATGCAGAAGATCGAATTTCCAAGAAAAGGGTACTTGACGACATCAAATGCTGCTCACTGCAAGTTCAGCAAGAGTGAAACCTAGTGGGCTTCTTTTGGTTTGGGGAGTAGGAAGCCCTGAGACAGCAGAGCTGACGTGCGTCCAAAGGAGCTCTGCTACTGCTTCAAGGTGTGGTTTTGCTTCAGGATCCTCATCTGTAAAGTGAAGTTGACAATGGAACCTACTTCAAAGTGTTGGATGGACTAAATAAGTGAACTTATAGAATTGTTTAAAACAGTGAAATACAGTAAAGGCTATCATATTTACATGATAAATGCTATTATATGTTATAGACAACAATCTACATATAATATATATACATATATAATAGCTACATATTAATATACATATTATATATACATATAATATATAACATGTTTATCTAACATATTTATTAATTTATTAATTAATTATTTATTATTAATTATTTATTTATTTATAGTGAATTTTAAGGAATAATTTCAGTTGAGGTAAGGTTTCAGAAATGTTTTTAAAAGGTTCTCAGTAAATGGAAACTTACAATTCTTGTTTGTCTTTTAAATGCTTTTTCCAAGTGTACATATGTGCTGGTTGGTGGGTGGGGGGAGGGGGGATGTAGGGCAGGCTGGTGTCATTCTCTTAGACCAGGCAGAAGAAGACTAGTCATAACGTCACAGGAAAAAAAAGAACTTCAGTTTTCAAGACATCTATGCCAGTGTTGCTAGCCACCATAATTTCCATTTTGGTTTCATAAGGTGTCCTTATTTCTTTAAAGTAAGAAATAAGGGAAACATAACAGTGACAATTCACTAGGCTTATTTAATTTTGGCAAAAAGGACCAACCATTTTGCAAGAATTCTTCACAGATGACTTCCAACATGAGTCTTTAAGGAGAGAATTTTTATTAGAGAGTGGAATGGAATTAATTCTTTAAGTCATAATTTACAGAGAGAATTGTGGTTCAAAAGGCATGCCTTGGGGGCACTGAAATTATATGTTCTCAACAGAAAACATCTTCAGTGATAAAGAATCTAGAAATACATAAGAATCTGCTCTGTCTGATATATAATATTTAACATGATCTTTGTTCTCTAGGGGATTTTCTGTTTGGCAATGTATTTCTTCTTTTTCTTTTTTTTTTTTCCAGGCTCTTTTCCCCATAGCAATATGTATCTTTTCTAATAAAATGTATCTGAATTGGTCTCCCCACCCAGCTAAGGCAGGTGGTGTTTTTTGTTTTTTGTTTTTGTAAGAAAGGACTATCGTTCTAAGAAAATAAATAAGCATATCAAAATTGCATATCATTAAGGATAAGGCTAAGAGGCTCCTATTTTCTTTTTTCTTTTCTCTTTCTTTCTTTCTTTCTTTCTTTCTTTCTTTCTTTCTTTCTTTCTTTCTTTCTTTCTTTCTTTAAAAATGTATTTCTTTGGGAGAGAACATGCACGCTTGAGCAGGAGAATCTCAAGCAGACCCCCTGCTAAACACAGAGCCCGACTCAGGGCTCCACCTCATCAAAACTAAGAACTGGATGCTAACCCAACTGAACTACCCAGGCACTTCAAGGTTCCTATTTTCTGGAGAAATCCACTCAGTTGCCAAAATAGTCCCAGAGATAGCACCCTGAAAGGGTCTAGTTTAAACTAAAGAGACTGGGTTAGTATTATTATGAATATTATTATTTCATTATTTTTATGTTTCATGTTTTAGACCCCCCCACATTATTTTCTGCTCCCCTTCTGCACAGGCCAAATCCTTTCCCAGGTACCTTGTCATTTAAGGATCAGTGGAAGTATAACACATCAGGAGAGCCCAGAGAAAATTACAGAAGCGGTTAAAGCCAGAAACATTTGACCTGTAAAGGCTAAGAGAGTGGGGACTATTTCAAAGGTAGGGAAACAATGTGTAGGCTAACTTCCACCAAACCACGTGAAGGGGGTTGCACCCCCAGAATTGTGGACATGCTTGGTGACTGCCTAGGACTAAACCTGAATATTATTTTTGCCTTGAACCTAGCAGGACAGGGTATATTTTCAAGGGTTTCTCATTTATAAGTTTACCCAATACAACCAACATATCAATTATGCAACATAACACTGAAAGACAAAATAAGAAGTTAAATACAAGATATCTGACTTTGAAACAATAAATGAGTAGCAAGAAACATCAAACAAAAATTTTTCAAGACTGCCTTAATTAGGTTTTACTTTCCTTTAGCCTAGTTTCAGGCACAGTTGAAGGAGTATTATCAGTGATGCTCAAAGCTACTTGATAATCTTTGATACAATGTACCAAGAAACCCTGATAATTTCATTCTTGACTGTAACTTGGC